CGAGGTTCTTTCAATAATTATGTTTCCGTGGACATTAGTTTAAAAATTTTAAAAATATAATTATTAATATATTTATTATAATTTTTAATGTATTGTTAATGCAATTTTTAATAAATGGTTTTATTTTTTAATTAGCACTTTTTAAATGCCTGATTAGCAAGACTGATCCTTATATTTCTTAAAATTTGAATTGAATTAGGTTATATACAGGAGTGGCTTCTTATTCACTATAATTAATCCTTTTCAATACATTTAAATACTAATGATTTGGGGAAGGTATAGAAATTTCAAGTATTAAAATTAGTTAGAGAAAAACCAGTGTCATGTGGTTAACGAATAAAAAATAAAAGTAATATTTACCATTATAATGTATTTTTATTATAATTTTTATGTGTTAATTTTATTACTAATATCTTTAAAATACTTGTCAGCAAAATAAAATAGACCTAAGTTTCAAGTTGTGATCAAACCGTAATATAGAGTTTATCCTACACTTTTCTTTCTATATCAATCTCTTTCTTTTTAAGTTTTATGTTCATACATTCCTCTCTTAAACATGAATAATTTATTTGTTAAATTGGAAAAGCTTCCATATAATTGAACACTATTGGCTCTATTCTTCATGTATATTTGATGTTGCTTCTTTTGACGGTCTAATATAATTTGAGTTTTTTTTTTGTTTCAAAAATATGGTGTGAATATAACAGTAAATGGAATGAAATGTTCCGGAAGTTCAATCAATCACTAGACAAGAACTTTTTCATGAAACCAACTGCTCATATTGAAATGAAATGATGAGAGAGTATTCATTAGTGAGTAGATATTTCAAAAATTGGTTCGTATATAAATAGATATTTCAACTCTATATATACGCATCATAAAGAAGAATGTGGATGAAGGAGCGTGGACACGCTGCAAAGTTAATGGAACAGTAAAGGATTAGCTTTTAGTTGGTGTTGCCTTCTTTACTAATTGATGGAGTTGAGTGCAAAAGCCATCAATCATCAATATTCTTTGGGAATTCTTGCATTATAGGTATATGGTGGTGAGACAAACCTGTAAAGAGAGGTTCAGCCTTTTTCTAACGCATGCTCCATCTTTTATCGCTTCTCCAAAATCGGAATAGTACTGAACGTGATGGTATGTCTCTCTGTGCATATACATTTTTCTTCTCTTCCTTTCATAAATCATAAATAGAAGATAATTGAAACTCAGTGCTTAACAATCAACTTATCATATTTTTTCAATTAAAAATACAGATTTTAATAAAAATGTGTGATTCACATTAACGTATACATGTATACTTCAATTATGTTTAATTGTCAATTAATATTAGTCATCTTTAAATCAAGTGGGCATGCACTATAGTTTTATTTGATAAATAAAACTTTTGATTAATAACTAGTCAATTGAATTAGAGGATGATCGAGCAACTCAAGAAGTTAACTTAAACTAACTTTTATTACTAATAAGTTTTTTTTATCAAATAATTTTATTGACTTAATGACTGAAAATTTCTTAAATAAGTTATAAATTTGTATTATGTCATAAACACTTACATATAAATAGATGATTAGCGCACGGATATATGAATTAATTTTTAATACGTACTAAACACTTGCAAGATTTCCAATTTTTAAACAAAACTTTTTAAGAGTTATTTTACATAAGAATTTGTTAGAAATTAATTTTTTCGCGTTATGTCATATGACTATTTACACATTGGACATTGTTTTTCAATTTTAAAAATTATATATTTTTAACTTATTTATATTTAATATAACAAAATATTTATTATTAGTAATTAAAATAGTTTATAATTTTTATTAAATTTAAAAATAATTATAAAATATATCTTATTTTTTATTTAAAAAATATTTTAAGTTAATAATAAGTCACAGTTAAAAAAAAGACCCACCCATTAATTCTAATGTGGTGCCACACAAACTAACTGAGTCAAATATATTATAAATATTTCTTTTTTTTGACATTTATTTTTACAAAAAAATTAAATAAATTGAATCTTTATAAATAAACAACTTCATCTAAATTGTGAAATTTTTTTATAAATATTTATTAATTTACTTAAAAATTATTTATTTCATAAAATAACTTGAACAAACTTATTTTACTAGTAATATAATATATCCTAATAGTATATAAAATTAATATACATCATCAATACACTAACGGTTAGTTAATGGGGTTTAATTTAAATAATATATGTTGAATTTCTTTTAAATAAGATTTTAGATTCGAATTTTTCATATTAAAAAAATTGTCACCGAGAAAATGCATTGTATTGTTAATATAAATTTACAATATAGATACTAAAAGTTTATATTTTGTTAGATAGTCATATCAATTAATGAACCAATTTTAACACTAAATTTTTTTTGGCCGTTAGTAAATATATTTTTTCATAAGGAGAGATAATTTAGAAGTGATCTTTGGACATTGAATCTATTAAAATTGTATTAAAAAAAATAACTTCCTTCTATGTAATAAATTATGTATGAAATTAATGATTGTTATTTTTAAAATTATAGTTAGAAAGTTATTTTAAAAAAAAAAAAATCTAAATCACTAGTAACATATTCTAAAATATAAACTCTCTTGCCAAATATGCATCTCAGATAGTGACGGAGATTATTGAATATGGATGTTTCCTAGGCAAACAAAAGAGCGTGCAGTGGGAATAGTATTCTTTTACACGCTAGAGTTACAAAGAAAATGAAAGAGCATTGACTTTGATATATATATATATAACCAAAAGAGTGAGGTGATATTTAACAGGATTATATATATTTTTAATTTCCATTAGCATAATTTTATTTTTTTAATTTTTTTAATTATCATAAATGTATTGGATATGAAACTGTTCGGTCTTACATATAGAAAAATAAAATCGAGTACCTATTCGACCCTGTTTTGCTGAATACCTTTTGTCGGGATTTAAAAGTAATTAATCTAATTAAGAGTAATAATCAAAATATTATCTACTTTAAATAAAGGGTCAAAATCAAGACTGACTCTGCAGGCTCACTAACTCATAATAATGCTTATAAAAAGAAGGTAGGAAGTATAGGTAAAGAGTTGACTTTTTATTATTAAATAACATTTATTGCTCAGAACCGAATTATGACTTCAGCATCGGAGTGCCTTTTGCATGTACCTTCCCCATGTCAGCAACAGTCAGAAGAATGTGACCATTTCAGAGCAGAAACTTAAAAGACTAGTGTTTCTTTAATAGGAACAATAAATTTTTAAAAATTAATGAAATTTGTATATTTTTGTTTATGATATGACATAATTAAATTATTCTTAAGTAACATATAACATAATATAACTAAATCTATACCCCCATCATTATTAAATAGTGATAAGAACTATTTCAAAAAATTAAAATTTAAAATAACAATAAAATCACATTAAATCATATTTCTGAAGACTAAAACTATATTTATTATATAAAAATGAGAAAGTTATAGAGCTCACTTCATAGACTTGACAAATATATATATATATATATATGTGTGTATTTTTTTTTTCCTCTTATTCTTCTCATTGTATTAAACTAGCTTGTGTTAGGGTTTATTATGTGCATTAATTAAAGTATTATTTATAATCCCTTAATATTACTACTATTCTGTTTACTAAGAATTTAAATAAAAATAAAGGTTTCATATACAAGCATTTGTTGCTTGTCAGAAGAAAACAAACTCACACTGCATAATTGACAGCATAATTATGGAACTGAAATAAGTGGGAGATTAAAATCGATGAAAGCCTTAAGGGAATTTCCACGAAATAACGCACAAAGTGGCACATGGCACCAAACTGTATAAGACATGTACTACCAATAGCTCTTGATTTGTCTGGTTTTTGACTTTTCTGTTTATTTACGCATCGGAAAATGAATAGAGATCTAGTTTGTCCCATATTGATTATAGGGCTAGTAGCTATTGGGACTTGGGAGGACCATTTCTCTTGCTATGGGAATCTTTTAATTTATCAATTTTATACTTAAAAAAGGCGAAAGGTGAACCCAAAAGGTGGAGCTATATATAGCTAAGGCGTGATTTGTGAACCTTGTACAATTTGCTATATGTTTTGGGATCTCTGTTCATGTACTTGTTTCAATCTCATCATCTTACCTACACTTTTAATGTGAATCATCCTTTTAACCCCCACGCTTGCCTCATTTTGACTCGTAACTTTTTCTTTTTCATTCATGTTTTTATCTCTCAAGCGCAAGTCAAACGTTTGCTTGAGTTGGTGTACCAACTATATGAGACAGTTATTCATAGAATATCTAGTTTTATATACACTGAGTGGAGACTAATTTATATGCGTTTTGCATTACAACCGAAAGGTAGCATCACCCACATCTACAACCAAGACACAAAAGGAGATTTAGCAATTGGGCCTAGCAAATAGGATTATCGAAATGGTCTTCATGGCCGTCTGTCTTGAATGGTGTTCCATTTTGGACTCAAGAAAAGGGCAAATTTTGACCCAAAAATGGGGGAAGGGGGAACAGTAATCCACAAAACCTTGGCTGGTGTTGACTAAAAAATTCGTGGCTGGTGTATATATATATATTTACACATGTATTTTTTTTTCACACCATCATGTGAGGAAAAGTGGAATATTTTACAAAATATGATAATTAAATAGGAATAAAAATATATGTACAAACACCTACATTGTATCTTTATGAATTAAAAAATGTTGATTTTATATATATATATATATATATATATATATATATATATATAAGGTTTAATTGTACTTTTGGTCACAGTAATTTAATTTATGTGCAATTTTAATACTCCTAATTTTGATCGCTCACATTTAGTTCCTCTGATTTTTTTTTAAATATACAATTTTGTTCTTCTTAATTTTAATTGCTCACACTTTATCCCTCTAGTTTTTTAAATATTAAGTCTAGGTTCGTTTAAAGTAAGTCCTGAATTGGCCTAAATCAATTATACAATTATATCTACAATTAATATGCTTGTACTAGAGGATCAGGGTACCATGGTACAAACAAATATGCCTATAGTTGGTAGGGCTTTTGTTTGCCTTAATTGTTGGTAATTTGAAATAATAATTCAAAACTCAAAACTTATCAAAATTTATTGAAATAAACCCAAAATTTCGACCCATATATGTCTGCTTACATGCGTAAGATCAAAATAACCTGTAAACCAATCATTATGTACCTATTTATTGTGAAAAGATGGAACAGAAGCTAATAGCTAAATCATTTTTCTTCACTTTCTATACTTGGCCACCCTTGATCAGCCTGTAACTTGACAAACTCTGCCAATATCTTGATCTCTTCATCTTCCAAACGAGCTCCGAATGTGCACTGACCCCGTGGCATGCACTCTTTACCAAAGCCCTGCATGGAACCATAAGACATTCTTCGGCCAAGTAGAATCTCAATATTTGTACGAAAATTTAAACCAGTAAACATAAAATATGAATGATGAAGGCCATGGCATCAGGTGGAGCAAATTAGCAATATATGTGTGTGTATTTAGTGAGATTATGAGAGGGTAGAGAACTTTTAAGTTTGACCATACTACTACCATATATTTATATATGAATGATCAAGATTAATTTTATTTAAATTTAAACTTAGTTAAAATGTAGATCCTTTCATCATGAGAACATACCCCACAAGTGCGCGCATGTTTACATACACAATTATACATTGATGGTTAAAATTTATTATACTTGGATCTAAACTTAACCGTCTAAACTTAAGTCTACAGAAGATGACTTACTGGCATTCTTCCTTTTCCATAGTATGTGACACGGTAGATCGCTTCTTCTGTATCAACTCCATTTCTGTTGTGCAACATTTGGATTATCTTAAAGAGATAGACAAAAAATAAAACTCAAGTTTTCTACAACTGTGGTAAGAGGCCAATGAATTGTGAATTTCAAATTGACATTTGTGATCCTCTAAAGAACTTGGTAAGCAAGCAATTTACAAGTAGGAAATATTGATTGATGCATACAATTTAGACCAGAGCAATTTTTTGCCAATGAAAGAGTTGATAGATTGTCTTCACAAAGTCTGAAAGAAACAAGCCCTGAAATTTTGTTTGAACTTAGTTTTGAAGTGTATACTTCAAATATTTCAGTGCTTTCTATCTCCATCATATTGTCATATCACAGCATGAGGGTAGTAATTAGGTTTTTGCCAGTTACCTCTGTAAATCCTTTGTAAATAAAGTTGACCCCTGTAAGAAAAAATAATAGAAAAGAATATGGAACAAAGAATAAATTAATTTGAGTTAGCAATGACATAAAGCGATGTCATGCATAAGGGGATGCTCACTGGTTGTATTATGTTTCCTCCTGCATCGTGACATCCAATACAAGCTTGACGAAACAATGTGGCTCCTTTCTGAATATCAATGGTTTGAGCACTTGAAACTGTAGAGTAGAAGAAGCTAATTAACATTAACCCCTTGTTTACTTTGTGCAAAGGTTATGTTTAGAATAGCTGACAAGTCCAGAAGTGCTAGTTCTTTTGTCACAATAGCAAACTTTCTTCTGTTGGATTTGAGATAAGGTAAGTGAAAGAAGCTAAAGCAGATTTGACTCAATTGACACACACAAATATTGACACTAGCAAGCCTTAGATGTCATAAATTGTTCGTCTATGGCTCTATGTCATTTCTGTTATCATTATCCTTAATATAGAGATCTTGTCTATTATTCAGCCCTTGAGTACATGTTAACCATTTATCAACCCTGAATTTCCTCTCTTCAACTAGGATTTATTTGAGGTGATAGCAGAGAATATTGAAGAGTGAATGAATGGTTCATTAACATATTGGCTGTGGGCTTGAATATAGGGAACAAAGAGTGAGTGGCATGTTGTCTAGTCAGAATTACGTTACATGTATTTGTCTTAGCATCATATTATCATTCATGAACCCATTTTACAAGAGTGAGTGGCATGTTGGCAGTAATGAATCAAAAGAAGGGGCATTTTAGTATTTTAAAAAATGACAACTCACCTGGTGTGCTGCAAATTGGAGATAAGACTAGAAACGTGGCCACAAGAGGAGGAGCCAAGTTCTTGTAAAACTTCACTTCTTTCTCTTTTCTAGGAATGGGATTCTCTACCCTTTTCACGTTATCCTTTAAACAATGTCAAGCGTTCATATCAATCTCTCTTGTTTTTCAAGTGTTGTGAGAGTTATAATTCATAAGCACGCAAGAAAAGTGAGAGAGACAAGACTTGTACCTTATTGGAGAGGAAGAGAGCGTAATCAGTGCAACCAGAAATCAAGGAAGCAAGCTTCATTTTTGTTTCTTGTGTTTGATTTTAAGGCTTTATGCACAAATGAACAGAAACAGGATTGTGGATATATTTAACATACGAGTGGAGGAGTGGATGCTTTCTCTAAACTCCAATTCACTCCCACAGTTTCCTCTCTTTCTCCAGCGTGCACATATGATGTGTACACACAATTTAGCGTCTAGATAGCGGGATATGCAAAATAAGAAAATAAAACTTTATTTATAATTTATTTAAATTAAAGTATTTTATAAACTTAGTTAACTTTAAATTAATAGTAAATAAATATTAAGGATTTTTATAACTTGTAAGGATCTAAATCTCTCTATATATTATCTTGAAACAGATTTATGCCGGTGAATTGCTGGTGTATTTTATTTTTAAATGTTAGTAAGTAGTTAAAAACTTGTCGATTTTAGGACTAACTAGTTTAGTAATATTTTATATAAGATAATAATAAAAAAGTTAATTAACAAGTTTAATCTCTAAAATTTAAAATAAAATTAACAAAGATGTAGATAAAAAGAAATTACTACAGCAAAAGAGAATGTAATTACACATAATTTTTGGTCAATTTTAATCTTAAATTATAATGTAAATGAATACCTTCACTCACTTCCCAAATAATAGACTCTTATTTGTAATATCAAAATTGATATATTAAAATTATTATATATTTATTTTAAAATTGTTACAATTTATTTAACAATTTTTGTTAACATTAATAAATTGAATTTAAGAAGTAGTAATTTTTTTATTAAAAATATTTATTATAATTTTGGTTTAAATATAACAAATAATTCAATAAAAGTTGTTATGTTTAAAATTAGTCACTAAAAAATATTTTATTTATAATTTATTTTTTTATTAATATAGCGGGTAAAAAAATAGTCTCTGTCACTGATTTTCATCAATTAAGTGTTTTATTGTCTAAATAAAATTTTAATTTAGTACTGTCATGAACATTTATCCTACTGAACACAAATTATATAAACATTTTAAATAAAAAATTATTTTTATTTTCTATAAAAATTGTTTTATTTAGAATTAGTTTTTAAATTATTTTGTTAAAATTTAATTTCTAATAAAATTAATGAATACAAAGTTAATTTAAGGTCATGGGATTAATATTTGTTTAAGTATTTAACCGACTAATGATTTTTTAATATTGAGTTTTGATTGAGTACTTGACACATGCTAATGTTAGATTAAAATTTTATTAGTCAATTCATCCTAAGCTAATAACAAAAAATAATTTTGTACTCATTTAACTTGTTAAAAATTAAATCTTAAAAGAAAATTTCAAGGATTAATGTTAAGTATAGCAACTTTTATAAGAATCAAAAACTTATTAAAGCTTTTATTTTAAAAAAGACCAAAGTATTTCTTTTTCCTCTTAAACATTTACCTAATACTAACTTTATCATTTAGAATACTAAATAAATCTTTCAAAGATTAAAAATAATTATTATTATGATGACTTATAATGATTTAAAATTTTTATTTTTAATTAAAAATATTTTAAACTTATATTACTATTGTTGATATATTAAGAGAAAAATAAATCAAAATCTGCAGCTATTAATCTTGTTTAAGATTGGTTATAATTACAAAATTAAAGGCCTAGATTAGGAATCTGATTTGATATTCTTTTCTATAAATACATCTTGTAAAATAGAAATCACTTATTTTTACATGGTACAAAGTCCGATCTAAACCATCTCGATGCCATATGTGTAGAGTGAGTCAAGGAGGGCGACAAAACAAAAGTTGTGACCAAGTTGAAATCTGGAGCTTTAATTGAAGGAGTTGTTCTTCCCAACAAATTAAATGGCCAAAATTACCCCTAGTGGATACTGAGTAGTGAGACTTTTCCTCTAAGTAAAAAGAAAGGAAGGTATATTACCAGTGACATCAAACAGCCTAAATCAAGCGACTTCAAACTACAAAAATGACAGTTTAAGAACAGCCTCGTAATGTCATGGCTACTCAACACCATGACAAACGAGATGGGAGAGAATTTCATGTACTATGATAAAATAAAGGAAATATGGGACGTTGTAAAGGAGACATACTCTAACATGGATAACACCTTGACGATTTTTGAAATCAAAAGCTTACTCGAGATCCTCTGACAAGGTGAGTCCACTATTACTGAGTATCTTAATTCTTTAAATCAATATTGGCAATAGCTAGTGCATATAAGAAACTGGTGGTGTGGAAGTGCACTGAAGATAATAAAGGTATAACAAATTGACCAGAAAGATAAAATTTACAAATTTCTCTCTGGACTCAACCAAGAACTTGATAAGTCTAAGAAATAATTCTTGGAACCAAACCACTACCAAGTTTAGAAAAGTGTTCTCTGAGGCCAAGAGGGAAGAAACTCCTAACACAATAACTTATGGTGAAAACTTTGCAATGACAGTAAGTAACCAGCCTTGACCTACCCAGAAGAAAAATTGACTTTAGTGTGAGCACTGTAAGAAGTCTGGAGACACAAAGGAGACTTGTTGGGCAATCCATGGGAAGCCAACTAATGTGAAGAATTCTAGAGGCAAAGAAGTTTATGGTAACATGGCCATCTTGAGGTTAGTCCCTTCAGTAAGGATCAAATGGAATTGATACAGAAACTTCTCTAGCAAGCCATATAAGACAATGAAAAAAACACAGGTACAACCTCCATTGCTGAAAAAGGTAATGTCCTTATTGCTCTAAATGTTGGTACAAAACAAAAATCAAATCATGGAATATAGACTCAGGAGCTTCTAATCATATGACCGAAGACTTAGAAGCTTTGAGTAATTATACACCATATATGACCCATTCAACTGTCCGCATAGCTGATGGAACTCTCTCAAAAGTCATGGGTAAAGGTTCAGTTTAGATTTTAAAAGATATTATACTAAATTCAGTACTATATGTTCCCAAACTCAACTGCAATTTGTTGTTTATGTTGAGAAAATTACGTCAAATTTTCTTGTAACGTCAGATTTGTGGAAGTGAAAAATAAATGTGGAATATTTGCACACACAAAATTGATAACGGAGTTTAGCCAATAGTGCCTACATTTCCGAACTGCTACAGATATATTACTGAAAAAGAGAATATACTCAGTGTTTACATAACACTTAAAATACTCACAACCACTCACAACTCATAACCCAATTATACCCAAAAGCTAAACTATTTTCTCTCTTTTTCTTTCTCTTATTTGCTCTCTATTTTTCTCTCAGAAATGGGCAAAGAATGGATGGAAGAACTTCGTATTTATAGGCAACAAAGCATCACAATTTGTTAATTTTTCAACCAAAGTTAGGCACCGAAAACGTTAACATTCAACCGAATGTTAGGCACCGAAAATGGCACACCGTTCTTGACTTTTCAACAATCTCTCACTTGAAGACTGATTTCAATATGTCTTCACACCTCAATCAATGCAGCAGTCTTTTCATGATCTGTTATTCTAGCAGGCCAATTGAAGTTGAACACAACTTCAGTTTGTCAATGGTCACCACCTTTGTTAGCATGTCTGCTGGGTTCTTGACTTTTCAACAATCTCTCACTTGAAGACTGATTTCAATCTGTCTTCACACCTCAATCAATGCAGCAGTCTTTTCATGATCTGTTATTCTAGCAGGCCAACTGAAGTTGAACACAACTTCAGTTTGTCAATGGTCACCACCTTTGTTAGCATGTCTGCTGGGTTCTTGCTTCCTACAATCTTTTTTAATGTCAGCACCTTATCCTCAAGCAGAGATCTGATGAAGTGATAACATATATCAATGTGCTTTGTTCTAGAGTGAAACGCTGAATTCTTTGCCAGATGTATTGCACTCTGACTGTCACTGTGCAAAACACTCATTTCTTGGATGAATTCCAGCTCTGTTAACAAACCTTGAAGCCATATCAACTCTTTACTGGCTTCTGTTACTGCTACATACTCAGCTTCTGTAGTGGATAAAGCAACAATCTTCTGTATCCGCGACATCCAACTGACAGCTGTAGTACCAACAGTAAAAATGTAACCGGTGGTACTTCTTCGGTGATCGACTTCACCTCCGAAGTCTGCATCTACATAGCCTTGTACTTTTAATTCTCCTTTTCCAAAGTACAAACACTTCTTTGTTGTGCCTCGTAGATACCTCAAAATCCACTTGACTGTTTCCCAATGAGCATTTCCTGGATTTTCCATAAACCTGCTTACAACTCTCACTGCATGGCCAATGTCTGGCCTAGTACACACCATTGCGTACATCAAACTTCCAATGGTTGAAGCATATGGAATCTTAGCCATGAAGTTTCTTTCTTCCTCCGTCTGAGGGGATTGATCCTTGGATAGGCGAAAGTGACTGGCCAAAGGTGTGCTAACTGGTTTGGCCTTGCCCATGTTGAATCTTTGTAAAACACGATTGATATACTCCTCCTAAGATAACTGCAAAATTCCTCTTTGCTTATCTCTCGTGATTTGCATTCCAAGAATCTTCTTTGCTGGACCTAAGTCCTTCATGTCAAATTCTTTTGACAGCTGCATCTTTAGATCTCTAATCTCGTTCATATCTGAACCTGCTACTAACATATCATCAACATAAAGTAGCAAAATGATATAACTGGAGTTATACCTTTTGAAGAAACAATAGTGGTCAGCATTGCATTTCTGGAAGTCTTCCTTGTGCATGAAGCTTTCAAACTTCCTATACCACTGTCTTGGGGCTTGTTTCAGGCCATACAAGCTCTTCTTTAATCTACATACCATATTCTTTTTCCCTTCTTCTGAGAAACCTTCAGGTTGATGCATGTAGATTTCCTCATCTAAGTCTCCATGAAGAAATGCAGTCTTCACGTCCAATTGCTCAAGATAGAGCTCTTCACTAGCCACAATACTTAAGACAGACCTGATAGTATTGAGCTTTACAACTGGAGCAAAGATTTCAGTTTAGTCAACTCCTTCTTTTTGCTAAAATCCTTTGACAACTAGTCGGGCTTTGTATTTCTTGGAGCCATCATGATCCTCCTTCACCCGATACACCCATTTGTTGTGAAGTGCCTTCTTTCCCATAGGTAACTCAGCTAGTTCCCATGTCTTATTAGAGATCAAAGACTTCATCTCGTCTTTCATAGCAAGCTTCCACTTGTTGGCATCTATAGTTTGACATGCTTCTTCATAATCTTCAGGCTCTCCTCCATCAGTTAACAACATGTAG